AAAGCCAATATGTTTGTCTGGCCGTGGTCTTACGTGAACGAAACAACTTGGCGACAGGGTCTGGGCAAACTCTGACCTCGTTGAAATCATCTAAATCGGTGGCCATCTTGCGCTCAAGGGCTCTCTGCACGCCAGCCTCAAGCTGCTTGGCCACTAAAGCTGGGGAGGTGTACATTAAATCAACGACGCGATCGCGGTCATCTCTCCACAGCGCAAAATTATCTGCACGCCACCCGATACGATGGAGGGAGAGGAGCATTCTGTGCACAGGGCCTTTAGACTTACGCCAGACAGTAGGGCCTAACTCAGGAGAGGAACTCGATATTGTACGCCATATCCGAATGTGATCCCGAAACGAGAAGTGGGAAACCGTGGGCTCCGTGAGGCTCTGCCAGAGGCTGTTCGACCACTGAAGCGCTGGGGCCACCGCCTGACGCCACGCAGGGTCTCCATGAAGCACACACTTCGCTGGCAAGCTTGCTCCCCGATGGGCAAGAGACTTGCCTGACATCAGCACTGAACGTAAAGAGGCCAATTCATGATCAGAAACTCCTAAGACCATGCTGCCGAAACCTGCTGCTGGCCGTACTCCTGCCACATATATCTTGTTAATCCGCGTACGGCCCCTGGGGAGCTTCTTCTTATAGTGCTGGAGTAGTCGGCTACGAATTCGCATATCGTGAAACCGTTGCCTCCGCCGAGCTCTAGCCTTCTTGGCCGATAACCCCTGACCAGGTGCTAGGTCCACGCCCAGCGACACCGTGGAGTTCGTGGCCGAAGAAGGGCATATTGGCTGAAGTCGCCTGCGGAGCTTGGAAGCTATCCTGCTGGACGACGAAAAGGATACCGCTTTGTCTTCAGCTAGCCGAACACCTAAACGCGTCTGAAAAACCCACTTCAAATCTTTCGCAGCCTTGACCAAATCATGCATAATAACACTTTCAGGACCATGGGCCGAAACCGTGTCATCGTCAACGTACGATCCCAGACTGACCCCAGGATTTCGGCTAGACCAGAGGTCAAACTCGAACATCGCGTAAACCTTCACGAAAACATCGTTGAAAATGTCCCCTGCTGGTAAACCGTTTTGCGCAAACTGAATAAGCGGGCAGTGATGAGCTCCCAGACGGAGTACTCTCGGGGACCCCCAGAGGTTGTACAGTACTTTTATGAGAACCGTGGGTATACGCCAGTACATGGCCCGATCCCTCAGCCACAGGAGCCGAAAGGACTCGTAGTACTTCATACCGTCCCAAATGAAACCTGCCGTGAAATCGCCCTTTTCGGAGGTCTCCTCGGCTCTCACACTTTGTTGCCATATCGACACTTCAGCAGACTGCCCCGCACCGAAAGACCAGTAAGGCCGTTGGGCCCGATCCAGGAAAGAATCCGCCTGAGGTCTCCGAAGTCGCTCCCAAACTCGAACAAAAGATCCCAGAAGCAGAATCGGCCTGAGACCTCCTTTGGGCTTCTCCAGTAAATGCAGCAGCATCCACAGTAGCTGCGCGGGGAAAAGGCCCAGCCGCTCCACGGCCTCGTAGAGCACGGCCAGGCACGTGAGACCCTCGTCGGAGAGGGCGCCAACATGCCGAGGGTGAAATCCATCTAAGCTCTGGGCAGTGTGGCGGCTGAAGCTCAGAGACGCATTCCGAAGTTCAGCAACGCTGGCCCGAGGGAAACATTGACGATCAGGAATCCAGGCTTCGGGTGGCTTCAAGTCCGCTCCCCAAAATCTTCCCAGCGTCTGAGCTTCATCCCCCAGAAGGGCATGTGGATCTGCAGTAAACACTCCAGGCGCACTCTGGATAACTGTCGGCTGCCAAACCTTTTTTAGCTTCGTAAAACGATGCATAGTACGAGCTGAGCCAGCAAGGGCCCGTTCCTGCCAGAGATCCCACGACTCCCGCTGGATGCGATCCCCATCCAACCCAGCTTGCTCATAATCCTCACGAACATCTTCTAACAACTGCTGCGCTAGCTCAAGCCACTCCTGCCTATGGAAGCTGCTGTGGTGTTGCCAGCTCCTCGCCAGAGTGCGCATGGCACGGAGGGAGGCGTCTAGGCGCACAGACAGGCCTTCGCCAGGGCAGGAGTCCTGGAGCGACACCTGAAGCTGGATGCAACACTGGACGGCGTGCTCCGTCGCATCTTGCACCGTCAGGGTAAATTCTTGAAAAGACTGGTACAGCCACCTCCATCCAGCAGCGATCTGGAGCTTATCCTCAGGATCCTTCGGGCGATAAAAAACCGAAACCCAAGATGATTTGATCGTTCGCGAACGCTCACCCAACTCCTTCGGCTCGAAACCTAACGTTCGGGTAAGCTCCAGCTCGGCGACGTCCACAAACTGCGCCCATGCATTATTCAAAACCCTCCAAGCCGCCGTGGCCTTCTCGTGCATGGCCCAAGCCGCTGCCTGTGCAGCATGAGCAAGAGCGCCTTGCCACGCTGGTGGTTGAGGCCGCGGACCAAAAGGCACATCGACAGGTAGGCGCTGATAGCTACGATACACTAGCTGCCTGAGGGAAAGAGCATCTGCACGAACCTTGAGCTGGACAGGTCTGCGGGGCTTGACGTCCCAAGACATGACAGCTGCAACTCCAGAAATCAATCTAGACATCCCAGGGCCCATGACGAAGAAATCTATAATTGTGTTCGTAGACGGAGTACGACACGTATGCTCAATCGGCGCCAAAACCAACATCCCCAACTTGCGTGGAACTCCAGAGGCCTCAAGAACCTGTGGGGTGAGGTTCCAGTCGCCCGCCAGGATCGTATGAGTTGGGTCGTTCACCTGCTTACCTATCTTAGCGATCATCTGTACGTTGGCCTCGCTGAGGCCCTCCGACGTCTTCAGGTAGACCGAGAAAACCGTCACCGTGGGCCACCCAGGGAAATCCACCAGGACCTTTATAGCTCGGCCAGGAACCACAGGGCCAGGACCTTCTGGAGGCCATCGTAAACCAATGCTGAGCCGAGCGAAGACGGCGACACCGCACGAGACCTTGCCTGTCTCTGGGTTCAAGAACGAGGGGCCGAACAGGGCGTGGAAGCCGAGCGAGCGTGCCGAGGCCGTAGCTTGTCCCAAGAAGGAAACACTGATGCCTATCTCCTGGGCACACACAATCACCGCCGAAGTCTCACGTAACCTTCTCCGAAGCGTCTTCCAACACGAACCGTTGAAAGTCTCAATAAAAAACGGGTCCCCTCTGGCTACCTTGGGACCTCCGCGCAGAGGTGGCACAGGTACTCCAGCAGAGGACAAAGGAATGCCTGACAACAGGGGCGCACGGCAGCGGTGGAGTGCGTCACCCGCACCGCTGCTTCTTCGCCCTGACACCGAACTGCTTGAGCAGCTCAGCGACCTCCTTCTCGTAGTCGGAGCCCTCCTTCCGCGCCGCGGCGATGACCTGCTGCACCTTCTCCTCGGAGAGCTCCTCCATGTCAACGTCGTCATCCCCAGCGCTGACCTCAGCCGCTTCGGGAGCAGCTCCTGGTACCGCACCATGTACACCATCAGGGGCCCGAGGCACAGCCTGCTGCTGGTCCCGCGCCGCGGCCGCCTTGGCCGCATAGAGCTCCTTGAACTTGGCGAACTCAGGCGAGGCCAGCATCGTCTTGACCCCCTCCGCCTCAGGGCCCTCAAGTACAGTCGGGTCCAACTCCAGGTCGACCTCCACCTGCTGCTCGGGGGCTGAGGGCGCCACCTGCTGCATCGCAGCCTGCAGCTCAATCTTGAGTGCGTCGATGTCCACGCGCAGGCTGCGTTGTCGTTGATTGAGCTCCGCCAGCGTCCGCTGAGCCTGCTCCACAACCTTATTCTGCTCCGCAATTGACTTGTCGAGAGCCTCGAACTTCTTCTGCTTATCCGCCAGCTTGTGTCCCAACGTGGTGGCACGGGACAACACTGGCTTCTTGGACTGCACCTCCGCCCGCGCCGTCTTGAGTTCGCTCTCCACGATCTCAATGGCAGACGCTGGTACTCCATCGCACTTACGAAGAGCTTGCAATGACTCCTCCAAGTGCTGCACTCTAACACGTAGCTTGTCGTCGTCCGAAGGCGGTGCGTCTTGAGCTTCAGCACCACCACCTCCAGCCTGGGCCGAGCCGCCGCCTCCGCCTCCGTTGGCCGCGGCACCCGCGGGAGGGGAAGACTTGGCTGCGACCTTCTCCATGATGCGCTTCTCCATTGCTGCCAGCTGGCCAGACAGATCGGCCGGGGGGCCCTTGGCCCACGCACCGCGAGGGCCGCGAGGCTGCCCAGGAGGAACGCCAGGAGGAGCACGAGCAGATGAGCCCAAGGAGGCGGCTGCGGTGCGCGCGCGCTCCACGCTCGCCCTCGGGGCTGACTGCCCGCAGAGACACCGTATCCGACAAGCGAAATTCTGGTTCCTGCCACAACTTGGACACCCCCAGAAGGGCGATCGGGGCCCTGGGAGTACGTCCGCCTCATCACGTCGAGCCATGCACAGCACGGCTTGTCACGGGAAAGCTTGCTCCAGCAGGAGCTCACAAATTGGATTCCGAGCCACAAAGACCCGCAGGAGCGGCTGCCGCTCTGAAGACAGCTCCTGCAAGCCCAAAAACTTGGGCCAGAACGGCTGAGGAGGGGGAGGAGGAGGAGGAGGAGGAGGAGGAGGAGGAGGAGGAGGAGGAGGAGGGGGAGGAGGAGGAGGAGGAGGAGGAGGAGGGGGAGGAGGGGGAGAGGAGGAGGAGGAGGAGGAGGAGGAGGAGGAGGAGGAGGAGGAGGAGGACCCCCCCCCTCCAACTTGTGGTGGTGCTGGTGGAAGACACGCCCATCACTCGGGGTCGGGACCTTCAAGAACCGCCAGGCAGAGCACGGGTTGGCGGAGGACGCCCACCGGGCGAGAGCCAGGGCCCGCCTCTCGGCAGCACGAGCGGGGGCCCTCGGTGTGGGCACCACTGCTCGGGGAACGCTGCCGGGAGGGGGCGGGCGGCGCGGCAATCAGCTCCAACGAGCGCGAGGGGATTGGGAGGGCCTCTCCGTCTCGTCGCCGATGTCGAACGGGCCCGTGTCCATCAGCATACCCTCCAAGCAATGATGTATAACCCAACAGGATCCAGCCGACATTGTGTTTTGAAGCAGCGCGGAGACATGGGGCAGATGGCGATGCGAACACCCAAGGTGCTCAACTGCGATCGCACCACACATGGATTACCTCTTGCCTGCTCGTTGAATCCGCCAACGACCAACACTGCACATCAACGGGGTGATACTCAAATATGCAACTGTAATGATTGAGTGCAACCATAAGCAAACACTTCGCTTGGCCAGCATGTTCGACAACATATTGTAGGCAACCCTCATCCAAGGGGCTCGATGACAAAAAACGTTGGCGCTCTCTTTTCACTTAACAATTTCCTGCCAAGGGGAACCAGGGCTTCATGCTGGAGCTTCCCCCCGAACCCCCCGACTGGTCAGAAGACCACAAGTTTCGCGCGTCTCATACACGCGTATGTGACGCTCGATTTGCCGCTTGCGAGTCTCACCGTGCGCTTGGCCGCTATCCCAAAACTACTGCGTATTGTAATCGCCCGCCGACTCGAACGAGATGTCCTGAACGTATGAATGCATGTTGACAGACGTCGAGGCTGTCTGCATGCTACACGCGCGTCGGCA